AAAAAAAACGATGCAGCGTTTAAACCGATGAATTGATTTAAATGAAAGATGGCCTAAGTGTTCTTCATAAAGTAATTTAAATTTACGTCTATAATAAACTTAACGCAAAAGAAGCCGGAAAAAAGTAATTAAGAACAGATATCCGTTGGATTGGATATCCGAAAAACACAAAAACTATTAATTTTGTTGATATTGTATAGTCATTTAAAAGTATACTAAATTACCTAAAAAATCAGAAAAAAATCATTAAAATCAGACGATTTGGTAAAAAGATGTGTTACAAATATTTACCAAACGTAAAACTGACCATTTTTCCATTTTTTTTTTTTTTTTTTTTATAGAAACTTTATGATGAATCTTTGTTATTACTGGACGGATTTCAATGAAAGTTTTTTTATCGTTTATGAAATTTAAATGTCTTTAAAATATGTTGCAACCAAAATGGGGAAAAAGTGCACCTTTTTGAGTTATTCGCAAATACAATTTTTAATTGATCAAAGCTCCTTTTCAGGTCTTTTTTCAAGGAAGTATGTTGTGTACATAATTTTATTAGGGAATACTTTAGGAAAGTTTTTATTAATACTGTTTCAGCCGTTTTAGTGCTATCGTCAATAAAGAGAGCGGTTTTTCCACCGCCATCTTGAAACCAAATGGCGGCTGGTGATGAGATCCCTCAAAGGCACTTCTCCAACACCAAGTTAATATAGATACAAAATTTCAACCTTCCGACTTTGTTAAGAGTAGCTGTGGAGATGTGAAATATTTTAAAAACACGGAAAAACCTAAACAAAAAACATTCCTAGATGCGGAAATTTGGTAAAGTTTGATAGTATTGTTCCGCCTGAAAACTCACATCTCTAAAAATTGCAGAATAGTGATCTAGGGGTTCCAAAACGGATAGATGCAGCAACCCCACCTTCTACTAACGACTTTCGATACAGTGCAAATAATCTATAATTTCCGAAAGAAAATCACGACAATGGATCCAGGTGTGTGAACGTCCCAGTTCACAGATCGCTGATATGGTGCCGGTAGGGATGGGTCAATAGAACTGGATCGGGAACAGGAATCTAGTCTCACTGTGGAACGGAATAACAGTTCCAACGACTGAGAATTATGGATGGAGCCCAATTGTTGGCTAAACCGTTCCAGAGCAGTCCCAATACTGTTCCAGACTGTCCGATAAGGGAAGTTATTGGAGCAGTGGCAACTCCTGCTATTTAAAATAATTATTTTATTTTAATTATCTCTTTCACTATTTACGAAAATGTAAAATAATTATTACTGAAATAATTCTATTCCTAAAATGTATAAAATCAAGAACACAAAAATATTGTAATATTAATATAAAAAAAATTTGTAAAATATGTAAATTTATTGAAAATGAAAAAACATTGGAATTTGAAAAATACTTTGCCTCTGATAAACTGTCTTGTCTAATATAACTAATATTAATTGTCTCAATATAACTAATTCAGTGAAACTTCTTGAAAGACTAAAATTTTTTTAGGTGAACTTCATTAATTTAATTAAAGTTATTAATTCAGTATAAAATTATTTAATGAAATAGTACTTTCAGAAATAAGATTTAGAAGTGCTAAAGAAATTTATAAACGTGATAAAATAAAATATTTCGAAAATATCGAAAATTAATAAAATATTGGAATTAATCTGGCTATGGGGGAGAGGAAGGGTATAAAATTCTCAGAATTTAGGGTGATGTTAAGCTCAACTATTATTCTGTAAGCATTCAGGTTCATTCGGTTCTAGAAGAAAATATAATTATTTGAACTATAAATAGAAAATTCTGCAATTATTAGAAGAAATTATTAATTGACTTATATTGATTTCTTCTTAATTATTCTGCTTCGAAAGATATAAATGATGTTGAAACGAAGAAGCCAAAACATATAGAAACAAATCCTTCGAAAATTTGTTTATATTATTAAAAATATATTAGTACTTATTACTATTATAGCTACAATTTTATGCGAAAAAAAAATCACATTTGTAGATACCAACATTTATCGGTGTAATTAGTCTTCTTTACTAACGTTACTTTTAGGTTTCTTTTCTTTACTTGTAATTAATTTTCTTTGTTTTCTTTACTTTGTTTGTAATATCACTGTAGCTATATAATTGGATTTTCAATTAATCTTTTAAATTTAAATTAATTAATTCAATCATATAAAAATCTACATATAAAATTTATAATTTCATATTAATGTTACATTTCACGTAAACGTTAAATTTTTAAATGTTATATTTTACTTTTTTATATTAAATTAATTGAAACTTATGCAGCATTTTAAAGTTACTAAACAAAGAATATAGCGAAAATAAATCGTTCTTAAGTCTGTGGTAGGAAGTTACTATTCGGCGTCCCCGGCCAATGACGTCAACTCCGTCATTTAATTATCTCTTTCACTATTTTTTATTTTAAAAACAAATTAATTTACGAAATCGTAAAATTAATTTTAAGCTTATTAGTAACCATAAAAAATCTGGTGCGGTGCGAGTACCACACAACTTTCGCTAACCACCCTCTTCTTAGCAGAAATAAGTATTTTCAGACAAGGGGGAAGTAAAAGTAAAAATTATAAACGCCATTGATTTATATTTCATTGTGGGTATTTTTATTTGTTTATGTACTCTATTATATACAAACTTTAATATTTATATCTATGTAATCTATACAATTAAATATTAAATAATACCCTAGAAGACATTTAGGAAAACCGCATATGTATATTTAAATAATATTGTCGGAGTCCTTATTATATTAAGCTTATGAGACGTATGGAAGCGTGTTCTAATATTTCGAGTAACATCCTACAGCCAATGGCGAGCGATTGCCACCTCCCCTAAATAGGGCAAGCCCGCTAGCACGTGGGGCCTTGGCATCTTGGAGGGGAGTCTCGGCACCTACGTCCTTAGCTTGCCCGACTTTTCGCTGCTTCAGATTATATCATTTTCATATGACATCATCTAATGTAAACTTTTACGTTATTTATCGCTCTATCGTTATGGCCCTGGAGCGAGGGGCCTCTAAATGGGGTCCTTAAAACAGAAAAAGATTCGAATATGAACTGCATAAGTGTTTATGCAATAAAAAAGTAAAATGTCCTAGTCTGATATTTCATAAATTCATCATGCTGACTTAAAAAATATTAGGCATATCAGTTGAGGAACGAAAAGGGATTTATGAAGTGAATCATGTGGTAGAAATTTTATACTTTTAAACTTGTGTATATGGATGCAGAAATTTAAAAACCAAAATGCTTATAGGGGAACACAAATGGATCTACATGGGGGAAGAGGAAGGTTTCTTTCCGGCTTAAGCCCTCTCCCTCCCTCCCAAGATGGAAAAATATAACTGTTTCAAGAAAAAAAAAATATATATTTTTTTTTTTATTAACGAAATTTACAACTGTAATTAATAATAAATACAACAAGTAAATATGAATATGTAATATGACATGTACAACATGAGGAGAAATTACTCATTGGTAGCACTCCAATTATATTTCTATATTAGAAGGTCCCGGGGCCATCTTCTATTCAGACGGTTATCAGGAATAGATGAGGAAGCAAGGTTGGAAACGAGATGGTTCGGATGGTTCAGAAGTTTATTATGAAAGGACAGGTATCTGAATTGAGCTAAATCGGAAACATATGGTACATTAAGGTCATTATGGATGATTTTATTTGTGACAAAGTAGGGAGCATTAAGGATTTTACGAAGGCTTTTGGATTATAGGGATTGGATACGAGAGGAATTTGATGGTTTAGTAGAGCCCCAAAGCTCGATACCGTAAGTCCAAACAGGCCTTATTATAGTAATATATATGAGTCTTTTGTAAATAGTTGGCAGTTTAGAGCGTTTGTCTAGTAAGTGCTGGAGTAGTCGGAAACGTCGGGCGGTTTCTAGTCGTTTCAGTCTAGTATGGGGGTTCCAAGTGAGTCGTTTGTCAAAGTGGAGTCCTAGGTATCGGATTTGGTCAACAGGGATAAGTGGGGTATTGTTAAAGGATACTGCAGGACAGGAAGTCATAGCTTTACGACGATATTAAAATCTTTTCTCTAAAAATAAAATTGACATAATTACATTTTAATAGGACTTCTAAAATCATTTAAACGCCATTTCATAGAGGTAGTTAATTTCCTTCTCTTTCTTCAAAAGTTATAATCATTATTTAAAAATACGTTATAGAGCCCCTCCTCCCCAAAAAAAAAATTAAATCCTAGATCCCTTAGTGTAGGGGACACTTCAGGAGAACTTTTAGAAACCGAAGTATCTCGAAATATTAGGATTTTTGATTTTGATTTAGCACTTATAACTCCTAGATGGTGCATCCTTGTGAAACAGTTAATCATTGTTAACTTAAAAGACATTAAATTCTGCATCGAATGTGTTCCATACAAGTCCAAAACTAGGATTTTTACCAGAAGGAGGGAACTTACTTTTGCTGCTATTTCTTTCACCTCCTGCCACTCCTCCCGCTTCCTCTCAATAAAAGTCAGCATTTTATAATCCTATTTTATTTAAGTAATTTATTTAAAAATAAATATCATCACCAGATAATATTACTAATATAGCAGACCAATAATGCTAATGTAAATAGTATGATCAATTTTAAATTTTATTAATTTAAATTTTGCCTTATCTGTAAAATTGTATGATTTGTAGCAATTGTTACACCAAAAGAAGAATATTAATTTGTCAGTCATTGACTGAATTAAAGTCAAAACAACCAAAGAGTAGAAAGAAATATTTTTTATTTAAACTAAAATAAAAGTATCAAAATTAGGGCATTTAGTAGAATATATCAAGAAAATCTGAAAAAATGAGTTGAAGATAGTTTTGAATGGGATAAATAATTACTACTTTCAACAGAAAAGAAAACTATTTAAGTTTACGTTTCTTTATTAGAAAACTGAAGTTGAAAAAAAATATTGGAAATAGAATTTTATCTTTATTACAAAAAAAAAGTTAATTTTTGATCAATCTATTGATATAATAATTTGATGGGATAAAATTAGATTAGACATAATATTTTTTAAAAAATCCTTATAAAAGAAAAAGATAAAAACAAATGCTTAAAATTTGTATTTATAAATCATAATAAAAATGAAAGTTTATAATATGAAATTGTAATAAAGTTCTGAAATCTGATGGCAGAATAAAAATATCGGACGTTCACTGGTTGTAAGCAGCATACTGAAACAAAAAACAAAAGGTATCTCAAAATGGCGCTTTATATACATATATAAATTACATATACATATAACTATGGAGTAGCTTATTTATTTTAAACACTCAGAGATTTTTTCTTTCATAAGCTTAATAAAACTATATAATCATATAGAAAAAAAAAACATATTTAAGATGTATTTTTTCTAAATCATCATTTCTAAGTGATATTACTTAATTACAGAAATTTTAGTGGCAAAAATGTTTAATAATACATAGCAATTAACATTTCTAGGGACTTTTTAGCAAGTTAGTAATTGAAATCAAATGTTGGACATTTTTAACGTCAACCTGGTATGAGAATGACAAGTTGAGTTTGGATATTTTTTTGAACTCTGCACCAAACAGGGCACTAAGTAAGTACCTTCACACAGACAATTTTACGATCTAAAAAATACCGTGTTTTTAGTAATTATAACAATTTCACCAAAGCCAACATTTTCTCTAGCAAACAGAAAAATGTTTAATGGTTAAACAATTCACATATCTTATGATTATGTAAATGAGATACACAGTATGTACCAGTGTACAAATTAATTTTTTGGTTTCTGCTGATTAGGGGTGAAATCTTCAACAAGATCGATAGCGCAAGAATCTATCCTACCCTCCTCCCAAGATATTTTATTGCTTTTCTTAAAAACAAAGTAAGCTAAGCTAAAATTAGAAAAAATGTAGATCATATTCAATTAAATTTACTGCGGTCTGTTCTCTGTTTTATCCTTGTCCATACTCCAAAAATTCATACCCTGTTGAAATTTATCCCCCTCAAAATTCAAAATATGTCCCCCTCAAAACTTTTGATGGCACAACTTGCACCATGAGACCCCCTTCTGGACACCCCTGCTGCTGATTTAGTTTTTCTAATCTCAGAAACTTTCAATGTTAATATCTATATTGATGGTATTTAAGTAGTAAGTTACCTGAACTTGTATTTTACATGATTCAAAGCTTACCTTTAATCTTTTGCATTTTACATAATGAAAGGCAGTTTCACATTTGTCAGGATATTCTTTATCTAAAACAAAATCATAAACCATGGAATAAATGTTATACATATGTAAGCACTGTTAATAAATTATCAAAGAAATAAATATTTGTTAAAATAATAGTTTAACAACTATTTAAAGTATTTAACATAATAAATATTTTTTTATCATTTCGTAATAAATGATAAAAATCGATGTAAAATGAAAGGATTAAAATTTCAACTAATATGGACCATTATTAGATCAACTATACTGTTTTACTTTTAAATAATTTATAAAGACTTATCAGATCTATGTCCATATGTTTCTAAAGAAATATTACAGATTACAGAATACTCAAGATTACCAAAGATGAACAATTTAAGTTCTATATCACCCTTGTTTTAATAGAAAAAAATACAAATTTAATATAAAATAAGTTTTAAAAAATACAAAATAAAAAAAATATATGTAAAATTAATTACATTCTTTGGCACATTCATCAACGATCCGGTGGAACATCTGTATTTTCTTTTCATCATCTTTGTAGACTTTAGCATAAAGCCCCCTTGCATACTTAAAATCAATGCTTCCATCAGGCTTCATCTGCCCAATAAAAAATCACTACTTTTAGAAATTTACAAATATAATTTAACTATTACAAATTATAATATACATACTAACAAACATTAATAAATTAAAATAATAATAAAGTAAGTCTGGTATTATTTGAAAGATATATATGTATATATCAAATAGCACCACAGGTGGATCTACTGGGGAGCTTTCGGACGAAAGCTCCCCTCAAAATGGCAAAATATAACCATGTATAATAGAAAAAAGTATTAAAAAATATCTCTTAAGGTATTATTGTCTGTGTAATTACATTTAATAGAACTTCAAGAATCACTTAAATATTATTTCATATAGGCAGTTAATTTCTTTCATTTAAAAAAAAATAAATAAATATCGTTATATATATGAAAAAGCAAGCTTTTGGGCTGAAGCCACCTCACTCCAAAAATTATATCATGGATCTGCTAGTGAATAACACTAACACTTTAATACATTTAAATTTATGTGAAAAAGATTATTTAATGAGGTCTTTGGCATTGCCTCTCAGCTATTAATTAGTCAAATTGGTTGATTAATAGGGAAAATGAGGAAAATTGTATTAAACTACTATATTTTCAAGAAAAGGTCAATTGCATTTGCTCATTGAAATCACCTTATATCAACTATATGTGGATCCTCTTAACTGATTTTTTAGTATTCTAAATAAAATTAAAAGTTCTTTTTTCAAAAAGCTGTATTTTTATCTTTAGTTGGCAATCATTCTACCACTAATAAAACAAATAAGTATTTTTTTTTCATATGCTATTGTATATTTTTGATTTTAGAATACTATAATGAAAGATAGCATATAAAATAATTCTTACCACTTGCTGCTTTCCCATGAAGCAGGCCATATAACACTGAAAATTGTCAATATTTATAAAATTTATTTCTCAAAAGGAAAATTTGTATTTGTACATCATTTAGTTCAAATAAATATTAGTTTTTATACCTTTGCTGGTCTTGGAACTGATGATGGATCAGTGTAGTCTGAAAAACAGAGATTAGATAAACATTTAAGAAAATCAAATAGCTTTCAATAAATTATGTTTAACATTATCAATTCCTCAGCTTAGCATTAAAAAAAAAATAGGCGAAATGAGAACAATTATTTTAAAATAGCAATATTTCTTGGATGAATAGATACAATTTTTATTTTGTCCCATTTTAGAGTTAATGAATGTCATCTGGCTGCACTGCTGAGCTGTTATAAACAAAACAGGTTGGCTAGGGTGAGGTTACCCAGGTGGTAGTGAATAGAGTTAATCTGGCAGCACATGTGTGCACTGGCATACACTGGCAACAGGCACTTTTACCAAACACATTGTGGAACCATAAAACCACTGATCTCACCAAAATTTTATAGTTTTATCATGGTGCTTCCTGTGAGCCCTCTTGATGAAAAAGCAAATATTATTTTAGAAATTGGCCCTAAACAGCCATTTTGTGCTGGGCAACGCCTATTAAAAGAAGGAATAATATAAAATAATAAACTTATAAAGAATTGATAATATTAATAAAATTTGTCCCTTGATACCCTCAGGTCATTAATATTGTTTATTTATTGATATCATTCTTCAAGGTGGAATATAAGTCAGCTCAAGCGTATTTATAAGGTAAAGTCAGTTTTTCATCCAATTAAGATAAATACTGAAAATTAGTTGGACAGAAAAAATAAATAAACTCGATTTTCCTGAAATTTTCGAAGGAATTAAACTTGATATTTTAGAAACAATTAATCAAATTCAGTTTTAAAAATTGAAATATGTTTTTAATTGTATTGGAGTTTATAGAATAAAAAATAATTAATGAGAATACATATTACTCAGATCTCCAATGTCTCCTGCATATCCATTTTCTTTCTTACAATTTTCAACCCATTCTTCTGGAAAATATGAGAGTGCCTAAAAAATAAAATAAATACCTTAAAATCAATAATAACAAAAATGTTAGATATAACAACTAAATAATAATTATGATTATAATATGCTCCATAAAATCTTCCTATTGGCTTTGAAATAGAAACTATATATGTGAGCTGCATTATTTTCTTCACTAAATTTCGGCACCTCAGTCTTATAAAGTTTTTATTAGTGCCGACCTTTCGACCCAAACATGTGGGCCACCATCAGGACGTGTTTCCAGCACTGAAGGTATTGGATTACGTCAGAAGTACTCAGTCAGTACTTGAATACCTTCTGTACTCGAAACACGACCTGATGGTGACGCACATGTTTGGGTCGAAACGTCGGCACTAATAAAAACTTTGTAATGACTGCGTCCTGATTATTGATCACCCATTATATATAACGATAATTACATTGGAAGAAAAATAATGAAACTATATAAAATGGCGTATGAGTGATTCTTGCAGTCCTATTAAATGTAATTACAGGAGTAGTAATACTTTCATAAGACTATATTTTATCATTTTGGGAGGCTTCAGCAAAAAAGTCATTCCCACGTATATCTGCCTGTGCAATTAACAAATTTTGGAAAAATTAGTAATATAAAAAATGTTCAGAATGGCGTCTTTCGTAAAGATATCAATTTACGTTTTTAAATAATAAACATAAACTAGTTGGCCCGTGCGAATAATTCGCAAAATAATTGATTAATAAATAAATATTCGTAAAATTGATCAGTGAAGGAAAAATAAAATAATACAGAAATAAGTAGATCTTATGTATTATATGAGGAAGAAATAAATTTTGTTTTTCTTGGTCGAATACAATATTTCATTTAATATAATAGATCAAAATATTTGTACAAATTACATTTCTAGGTCTTATTTATAAATGCTGAATATTACTTTTCATATTAAAAAAGGTCTCGATCTGAGGGTGTTTTGAATTATTAAAAATAATAAAAGGATCAACAAAAAAGGCCTTCAATAAATAATAAAGAATATATCAGATTGGGAAAAAACGGTAGTAGAATAGTAAATGTACTATCTTCGAAGAGGAAAAAATCATTGTATATGCCAACTTTAATGGACATGTCTAGGTTAATAATGGTTCAATGTTCGCAATTTGTTTTTATTTTTATTTGTTTATTAACTTATTAATTTTTATTTATATTTGTAGAGAATTTGACAAATTTTCAAATAATCATGGGTCCAATCAAGAAAAACAACGTATACTTTTTAAGACATTCTCAAATAAAGATTCTTTTCATTCATAAATTTTTTCCTGAAACTTCGGATGGTTGTTACTATGATTCATCACTGCTCCATTTAATACCCGTTCGTTTGATATCTCATTCATTAAAATCCATCGCTCCTAAAGCCGGAAAAGGAATCGTTACTGCGAAAAACGATCGTATTATATTATAAAGATAGAAGAATCCGGTATTAGTTATACCATTAAACAAAACGCTACGAAAATGTCTATGATTGACATTTTTCACATCCTCAATTTTTCTTCTTTATTATATTTTTTTTTCAACAAATTTCATTTATTTTTCTATAAATCAATAAAACATGATTTTGTTTACTTACTAAATGCGCTGTGACGAGCAAGACAACAAAACAAAAGAGCGATTGAGTCATTTTCTTGTATAGCTGACTTCTGCACTGAATATTACCTTTCATGAGCTATACGCATATATATAATCTGAGGTTATCTGGGTGGGGATTCTCAAGTGAATCACAGAAAGTATTCGAAGAAAGGAACTTTACAACTACAAAAATCACAGGCGGAAAACTGTTAATGTTTTGAGGCTACAAAGAAAACTTTTTTTTTGTTTTTAACTGTTTCAACTGCTCTTTTTATCTATAAAGAGATAGTCGCCTATCTTTAGATTTCCTTTTAAATGCAAGCAAATATGTTTTAAAAGTTGATAGCAAATATCTCAAAAGTAGATATACCTGTTTGAAGCATAGTAATAAATTAATTAATATAGTCCTAATGGAATTAAAATAGATTGATCAATATGGAAAATAAAATTTTCGAAAATTCTATCCATCTTCAAAAGGAACGACATATTCTTTAGTAAACGACTTATTAAACTACAAACTATCAAAAGTAGTAACTAATCATTTAAAAATAAAACTGACTGGGGAAAAAAAGGATTATTAGTTTTTCCTATAGATAGCAATAATGGATTTCCTAAAAATAACCAAGATTCATAACAGAATACAAAGAAAAGATTGTCAGCAACCTTGTATATTAGTCAGTAAACCAATAAAAAAAGAAATAAGTATCAGATTTGATTTCATGAATTTCAAAGACGACAAAGAACTTGAACAAAATTAACCTGAACTGTTGCATAAAAAACACGTAGAGAGATAATTATAAAAAGTCTGGTTTGTGTCACATGTCCCTTCAGAAATTTTTTAACTACAATTTGATTGTTATTAAATATTTATTCTTTTATTTAATAACTTCATTTATATTAAACAAAAATAAAATGACCTGTGTTATCCATGAGATTTTTTCAAATTATTATTGCAACTCATTATGGTGCCATGCGCCCCTACATTAGGCCAGAGGCACCATTCGTTTGTAACGTTTACAATTCTTTAAAAACTTTTATTTCTTTTACAAATTGTATGATTTGATCAATGAATTTATTTTCCTTTCCTATCAATGTTCTTAGTTCCTGTTCATTGAATCAGTAAATCAGCAGCTCAATAAAAATATACAAATCGATTTTCAATGTGTGCATTTTAGTGCATACCTGGAGTAAACATATGTTCGATTATTTATTATAAGGAGTTGGTAGGGGGAATAAATACTGATTTTTTAAATTGTATTTTAATCTTTACGCCGAAGTTTCGACCCACTTTGTAGGTCTTCATCAGGGCATGGTATCGGACATTGCAAGAAATAGTTGATAGACTGATAGTCGAAACAGGTCTAGTGACTAGACATAACGTTTAAAATAACATTTTAAAAATTCAGTATTAATTTGACTGCACCCCCCGACCAACTCCTCATATTATATCACGGTCAACCATCTCTATAATGTTGAATTATTTAATTTATTTAATGTCGTATGGACTTATATAAATTCGATTTTCACTGTAAAATGCTGTCGGTGAAATAAATAAACAAATAATCTTGTTACTTCAACCTTAAAAAAATAATTTACTACTGGGTTGTTTAAGTTTTAAACAATATTTCTTATGATTTTGCCAGACATGAAAGGTATATAGGAAATAAAACGTATCAAGGTGACTGAGTATCAAAACAATGCTCCGATATGATAGTATAACCTAGAAACGCCAATAGTTTCACTGCTTTAGGAGCGGTCAGATAGGAGCAGCCTAGATATGATGTCATGCCTAGACTGCCGAGGAGCGCCTACGAAATAGGTTCTTTTCTATTCCACTAAAGCAGTTTCTCAACCGCAAGCGGTCGCTGCGTATGTAGCACCAGCGAAATAGTACCTTTAGACATTCGGCGCCCCCGGACAATGACGTCACCTCCCTCCCTTACAAAATTAAATTTATTTCCTAAGCTGTTTTATATTATATAATATTTAAATTTCATTTCATTCAACATTCCTTAATACAGTTGCTTTATTGATAGGCTAAAATTAATTATTTTAATAAATTTTGCATTTTTTTAAATTTCTCACCGAAGATTGCCCGGCGCCCCCCACCCTATAGCCGGCACTGGGTGAAAGATATAAGCAACAAATTGAAAACGATGTGGATAGTCGCTGCAACAGCTGAAAGTGGTGAATTTTAATTAATTTCAGTGCAATTTCACTGAATTCGGTTAACATCACCGCTGTTATTTTCAGATCGGCATTTGTGAATAAGATTATAAATGGATAAAACATTTTTTGTCAGATTTTAAGTCTGTTTCCTGTAATGAAATGATTGCTGGTTTGTAATGAAACACCAGTAAATTAAGTTCTTTGTATTTTGAGGATAAATCTTTACAATTCCAATTTAAAATAATCATATTGTTTTGTAATTATTAAATGTTTTGTGTTAATTTGTGCATATCGATTTAACAGCTGATATATACATAACTGGGTTGATACTTCAACTTTTTACTTTCACTGACGTATATATGTAATATATAGTAAGGGTAAGTATTGCGATCGTGAAAATTTTCGAATCTCAGTTTTCAACGGAAATACGTGTTTTGAGGTACCCTGAGTTCAAATAACCAAGTGTCGCAAAATGGTCTGTGTGTGTGTGTGTGTGTGTGTGTGTCCGTCTGTCTGTGTGTGTGTGTGTTAAAAGTCTAGCTCATAAACGAAAAGTAGTACGAAACTGATATTAAGTATTTAAGGGTTTTATATGGGCCGAATGTGACAGCAACTTTTTCGTTAAAATCGGCTAACCGGTAGTACCACTTTATATCAACCCTGAAACACATTTTTACAATTTTCTCGAAAACGGCTCTAACGATTTTGATTAAACTCGGTGTATCATTGTATAATTAAGTGGTCTTTAATATCATTTAGGTCTCATCCCCGTTGATGTCACTTTACAAGACTTAAATGCCCAATGTGTCAATAGTTTTAAGCTAAAGACAACAACAAAAGGCGTCAGTGTATACCTCGAAAATGCAGATATATGTCGTACACTAGTGGCTAGTTTAAGGCAGGGTGGTGCTGATTTTCATACATACCAACTACCAGAAGATCGAAGCCCCAGAGTAGTATTAAAAAATCTTCACCATGCAACGCCAGTAGAGACAATTAAATATGAGCTAAGATGTCTTGGTTATGAAGCCACTAACGTTGTGAACGTAATATCACGTTTTAAGAAGCCATTACCCATGTTCTTCATAGATATATCAAAGGCAACCTTCAATGAAAAAATTGTCGATGTAGAATTTCTATACTATACGAAAGTGAGAATTGAAGAACCTAGAAAGAAGAGAAAAATCCCACAATGTATCAAATGCCAGCAGTATGGACATACTAAAACGTACTGCAATCACGCTCCGAAATGCGTGAGAACTGGCCTATGCCATGACAGTACTACTTGCACCAAACCAAGAGAAACAGCCGCGAAGTGTGCCAATTGCGGAGGGTCATACCTAACAAATTACAGAGGTTGTAAAACGTTAAAAGAATTAAGGGATGCCAGAAATCCCAGGAAAACATCGAAAAACCCTGACAAAACACAAATTAGCGTACCTCCAGCAATCCATGAGTTTCCGCCCCAACCTGAACTTCAGCAGTCGCACTAAGCTTCCTTCACATCAAATTCGTAGCATCCGAAGAGACAACCTCCACGAACAGTACCTGAAGCAGTACCAGGTCACCAACAGCAGATATGAGAAAGGGAAAACCTCTGGCTGACATTCATCCAGCATCGGCTCAGCTACTCAGCTTAGTAAGTTGGTTAAATAATCTCATCCAGCCCCTTTTCAGTCTCCTCCAAGAACTTACACATGTCACCCAGGCCTTATTCACTGACTATGGCAACTAATCAGCTGACTGTGGGCTCCATGTCCGTTCTTCTTTGGAACGCTAACGGGGTTAATCAACATAAGACTGAACTTGACATGTACTTGCACGAAAAACGGACTGACATTGCCCTTATCACCGAAACACACTTAACTCCACGTACTAAATTTTACATTTCTGGTTACAGAATATACAGAACCGATCACCCAGACAATACAGCTCACAGCGGCATAGCGATACTAATTAAAACATCACTAAAGCACCACTCACTACATTTACCCATTAAACCTGATATGCAATCTACAGCCATTACACTATATACCCAAAACCAAACCATTACCTTTGCTGCAGTGTACTGTCCTCCGAGGTACGTGCTCACACCTGCGATGTTTTGCAATTTCTTCAGTCGTCTGGGGAGGTGTTGCTGGTGGCGATTACAATGCCAAACACCAGTCCTGGGGATCACGACTTTGTACTCCTAGAGGAAGAAACCTAAAGTCTGCCATCCATCAGCTTTCATTAGACACGATCTCACCTGATACACCTACTTACTGGCCAACTTCAAGACAGAAAACACCAGACCTACTTGATTTTTTCGTCACTAAAGGACTAAGGACTGTACCATACACTATAAATGCAAGCTGCGATCTTTGTTCTGATCATTCTCTTCTCAGCTTAGTACTGTATGATGAGCCATGTACTACAATGAAACAACCATCTCTCGTAGGAGGAATTATCGATTGGAATGGATATCAAGAAAAGCTAAACGAAATGCTCTCTATTCCAATGTCTCTAAGGAACGAATATGAAGTTGAAGAAGCTGTGGATAAATTCACAAACAGCATTCAACAAGCTATATTGTCTTCTTCTGTCCCAAGGTCCAACATAAATGAGTGGCTTCCAACATATCCTCAGTACATAAGAGATTTGATCAGGGCAAAGAGAAGAGCTCGCAAAGTATGGCAAACTGGTCGACTGCCATCTGACAAACGGACATTCAATAGACTTAACAATGAATTAAAACGACACATTCAAAGTTATAAAACTACAATTTACGACAACTACATCAGAAATCTCTCTACTGACGATGGGAGCTTATAGAGCCATACAAAAAAAACTTGTAAATCATCGTGAAGTGTATGTACCTCTCCGAAAGGAGGATGGTTCTTGGGCCGTGTCAGATATAGAAAAATCTGAGCTATTCGCTATCCATCTTTCTTCTGTTTTTACTCCACATACTGACTTCAACAACATTGAACACGAAGAAAAAGTACTAACACTTTAGACATT